TGTGCTTGTGTACGTTGGAGACTGGCATATAGACGCGTCATCCTTCTCAGTCCCTCATGGTTACACCTCTAAACCAGACAAAAATTCTGGCAGCCTTATGGGTGCATGGGAAACAAAATTCAAAAAATGCAGAATTCAAACGGTATTATATTGCAGTTGGAACACCGTTTATCTTCAACTTCAACTTGATATGGTTATAATCCAGTTGCTGTCAGGTAAGGAAAATGGGTCAGATTTTCAAAAGCTCAAAGACATCAAAAAGTATGAATCCAGTACGACGCGTCATCCTTCTCAGTCCCTCGTGGTTACACCTCTAAACCAGACAGAAATTCTGGCAGCCTTATGGGGGCATGAGAAACAAAATTCAAAAATGCAGAATTCAAAAGGTATTATATTGCAATTGGAACACCGTTTCTCTTCAACTTCAGCTTGATATGATTATAATCCAGTTGCTGTCAGGTAAGGAAAATGGGTCAGGTTTTCAAAAGCTCAAAGACATCAAAAAGTATGAATCCAGTATGGTGCAGCGATTAAAGTGCCAGACTAGGATCCAAGATATTTGGGTTCAAATCCCCCCTCTGCCATGAAGCTTACTGGGTAATTGCTCTGTGGCAGCCTACTTTCCCTTTCAGGGTTGTTCTGATGATAAAATGGGGGAAGAGAGAACTATGTCTTTGCAGGAACAGTGGGGGTAAAAACCCATAGTTTCTGGTTCAATATGATCAGAATCTTATGCTCCCTTTATCAAATCTATTGTAAACTGTTACTGAGACAGCTGTGATGCAAACTCCTTAGTGGACTTCTTGCCTGTTGAAATTTACTTTAATTTATTTTTACTTTGTTTATACTCTGCTTTTCTCCCCAGTAGGGACCCAAAGCTGCTCCACAGCATCCTCGCAACAACCCCGTGAGAATAAGTTAGGGTGAGAGTGTGTGACTAGCTCGAAATCACCCAGCCAGCTTCCATGGCATAGGGGAGATTCAAACCTGGGTTTCTAAATCCCAGTCCAACACTGTGTCCGCTACACCCCACTGTCAGGTGGAGATGCGTGCTGCACTTTTTATATTTATGGCTGGTACAAAAATAAAATCTGAATTGATTCAAGCTGGCGGACATCATGAGAATTCAGTATCTGTTAATTTTTCTTTTCATCCCCGTCAGCTCCATGGCTCTGGTATCGGCTGACTCCCGCATTGCTGAACTTCTGGGAGAGTTGCATCAGCTTATCAAACAGACCCAGGTAACGAGACAACTTTTCTGGAATGTTTGATGTTGTAAGGACTGGATTGGCTGGGACAGAGGGGTTTTTTTCAGGGCTTTTCCCAGGGTGGGAGAAGGAAACCCCAGCAGCTTAGTGGGATAGAGGGCATCATTCATTTTATTAGGGTCCATTTTGGATCATGACTCGTCAGAGGGTCTCTGTAGTTAAGACTAACCGAGGAAGGGACACGCAGTAGTTTGCCTGGAAGAAAACATCTTTCAGGTTTGGGTAGGAATTGCGGTTGCCTGTAAGGTTACACAGGAACCCTTTCTTCACCAGGAGGAGCGGTCGAGGAGCGAACACAACCTGGTGAACATCCAGAAGACACATGAGAGGATGCAGACCGAGAACAAAAGTGAGTCGGGATTCCTTGGGATGTGTCGAGCTGCCTTGTTCACTCAGTGTCTTCCTGGCTGATCTCCCTCAGAGCCCTTTCAAAACCTTTAAGACTCAAATCCTATGTGATACAATAAAAAAAATATTTTAAAAAAAATGACTTGTCAGAGGGTGTCTGTAGTTAAGACTAACCGAAGAAGGGACACGCAGCAGTTTGCCTGGAAGAGAAAATCTTTCAGGTTTGGGTAGGAATTGCGGTTGCCTGTAAGGTTACACAGAAAGCCTTTCTTCACCAGGAGGAGCGGTCGAGGAGCGAACACAACCTGGTGAACATACAGAAGACACATGAGAGGATGCAGACCGAGAACAAAAGTGAGTCGGGATTCCTTGGGATGTGTCGAGCTGCCTTGTTCACTCAGTGTCTTCCTGGCTGATCTCCCTCAGAGCCCTTTCAAAACCTTTAAGACTCAAATCCTATGATGCTTACCTGAGAATACGTCCCACTGAAATTAGTGGGACTTTCTTCCAGGTAAGCACATGCAAGATCGGACCCAAGAGGGCGAGGGTTGGGGGAGATAGACTGTGAGAGAAACCTCATGGCAAGACTGGTCATGCCTCCTCGTCAGCTTTTCTTTCCCTTCCTCAGTTTCTCCATATTATCGGACCAAGTTACGCGGCCTCTACACAACAGCGAAGGCTGATGCGGAAGCGGAGTGCAAGTGAGTGGCATTTATTCTTTCCAGGTTGAAATTGGTGTGTGTAGCTCACTGCTTTTCTTCTTAATGGGGGCCCATAGCAGCTTGCAGCGTCATCCTCCTTTCCCTCATTTTATGCGCACAGCTGCAACCCTGTGAGGAAGGTTAGGCTGAGAAAGCGTGACTGGCCAAAGGTCGCCCAGTGAGCATCCATGGCAAAGTGATTTAAACCTGGTTCTCCCAGATCCTCGTCTGATGCTTGAACCACATGTGATGCCGGCTCTCAGATACAAAAATATTTTTGGCCCGCTTTTCTGTCACACGGGTTTTAATCTAGCCCACAAAAAGTAAAGGTCATTGTACAACGATTTAAAAACAATCGATTTTGCAAGTGAGTGGCATTTATTCTTTCCAGGTTGAAATGGGTGTGTGTAGCTCACTGCTTTTCTCCTGAATGGGGGCCCATAGCAGCTTGCAGCGTCCGCCTCCTTTCCCTCATTTTATCCGCACAGCTGCAACCCTGTGAGGAAGGTTAGGCTGAGAAAGCGTGACTGGCCAAAGGTCGCCCAGTGAGCATCCATAGCAAAGTGATTTAAACCTGGTTCTCCCAGATCCTCGTCTGATGCTTGAACCACATGTGATGCCGGCTCTCAGATATAAAAATATTTTTGGCGCGCTTTTCTGTCACACGGGTTTTAATCTAGCCCACAAAAAGTAAAGGTCATTGTACAACGATTTAAAAACAATCGATTTTAAAGCCGTTTTAAAAGCCACAGGCACCCAGTCAGGTCTTGCTTTTCTGCTCTTCTGTCTTTTCCTCCCGCTCCTCTTCCCTTGCAGTTTAGCCTAACACAGTGGTGGCGAACCTATGGCACGGGTGCCAGAGGTGGCACTCAGAGCCCTCTTTGTGGGCACGCGTGCCATCGCCCCAGCCAGGCCCAGACCATCATTAAAGTGTCGAATTCTCTGCCAAATAATTTTAAGTAAATGAAAGCATTTGGGATTGCTTTCCTTACTTTGTTTGGATCATCTTAAGTTAATGTATGAGTTGTTTTTTCTAAATTAAAACCTCAGTATTCAGGTTAAATTGCCGTGTTGGCACTTTGTGATAAATAAGTGGGTTTTGGGTCGCAGTTTGGGCACTCGCTCTCTAAAAGGTTCGCCATCACTGACCTAACAGCAAGGGCTTGTCTCTCTCCACCTGATGTGAGCCGCTTTGGAAGGTGCCTGTGGTCTGAAAAGCGAGATCCAAATCAGTTAAACTGCCAGCAACGAAATGGCAGAAGGGGGAATGGGGATGCTGGGCTAGATGGCCCTGGGGCCTGATCCAGCAGGGCTCCACTTAGGTCCTAGATGCCCAGTGAAAACTCCCGTGATCAGCGATGACGCTACAGCAGAAAAAGCCCTCTCCCTGATCGGAAGCGGTTAATCACTGAATGTTGGAGCACTTAGACCAGCACCTGGTCTGATGGCCTCCAAGTGTTATGTTCCCAAGTATTTCCATCGACTCACTTTCCCCAATTTCCTCCCTCCACCCTTCCCAGCATCCTACGGAAAGCCTTGGACAAGATCGCAGAGATTAAGTCTCTTTTAGAAGAACGGCGCATTGGTAAGTGCTGTG